TGATCTCCACTACATCTCACATGTTAACTTCCAACATTTTTCACTATATAAAGGACCTAGAATTCTTTGTTTGATCATCCAAGTTTGTGCGTGAAAGTGTTGTTCATAGTTTTAGACAAAAATCACATTTGTAAAAATGGTAGTTTCTCATATCGGGGAACTACCACATCATTAGTTTTAGGCCTACAATTTATGTACTCTTGGATCACAATCTTTCCATCATAATAGAAGTTTATTTCATGTTCTTTGTTTCTCGCATTTACAGGTTCTTTATCATATTGCTTATTACTATTATTATTATTATTATTATTATTATTATTATTAATATTATTATTATTATTATTATTATTATTATTATTATTATTATTATTATTATTATTATTATTATTATTATTATTATTATTATTATTATTATTATTATTATTATTATTATTATTATTATTTATCATTATCGCTTTGTTTGTCAAATTTAATTACCACGTTGTTTTTAATTGCAATTTCTATGTTTAATTTGTTTTCAATCAATAGAATGTTCGGCTAAATTACTTAGAGTCTGGTATGTGAGAATTGTTGTTTCTGACGGGACTCGGTAATAAGTTGGCTTAATATCTGTTTGAAAATTCTATTTTGGTATGTTTTTAAACTTAATTTAAATAGCCTTGTCACAAGAGTGAGAGGTTACTTAACACGATTTTGCCACGAGTGTGGGAAATAAACTAAGGTTCGAGTCGGCACTGCGAGAGCATGAGGTTCGAACCAAATAATATAAACTATGTATTAATTCTAAATACAGCGAAAGCACTTTAGAATTAATTAGAAATTGTTCAGTTTTAAAAACACATTCCTTAATTAAAATGGGTGAGCGAGAGCAAAATCTCATGGTTATGGAATGTGGCTTTATTCAAAACCACGAGAGTGTGAGGATCAGTCTTTAAGTTGATATTTTCTACTAAACACATTTTTAACATCAGTATAAGCCAACGAGTTATAGAGTCCATGAGGTACGCGGAATACATATTTCGGTAAATCTTTTCATTTATATTTCCTTAATCTTATTTTATTTCAGTTTTAGTTCTTAGTTTCCCCTAAATCAATCATTCATTAGCCTTAGCTTTACAAAGCGAAAATAGATTATAGTAGGTTGACATTGGTCTCTATGGTTTCGACAATCTTTTATAACTTTGATATTTTCGTTCACTTGCGGACGCATCAATATACTTGACAAAAAGCAAATGAGACTTGCTGTTGAGAGGCTTTGATTTTATCAATCTTCTAATAAGTTTTCCAAAGTAAGCTTCAAGATGGTCATTCAACTAACATTTTTTTATACTTGCCCTCTAACTTATAATTCACTAACAGTTAACTTTACTTTATGCATTTATTTTTTGTGTTTACTCTTATGTACCATTTACTTTATTAGCATTTATTTCTCATGCTATTTGCCTTTTGCTCACTTGAGTATTTATTTTTTATGTCATTTTTTCTTTGCTCACTTGAGCTTTCTTTTCTTTTAAAAAAAACTTAATAATCAATTGAACCTTAAAGGACTTATTTCTTTGTAGACTACTTGGTTACTATCCTTGGCATTATGGAGTTGTGGATCTCTCAGATTTAGGATTAGAAGCCTTGACTTGAGACCTTGGAACATTGTATTCTTTGGTTGATTATTTTTGTGAAGATCTTCTGAAATCCTTGGGGTTTACTCAAAGTGATTAGTTTGAATTTTTTCTATGTACAGGTTATTCTTCTTTTCATGCTTTGTATGTGATTAAGAATTCCTCTGTATACATTTGTTACTCTGGCCAATTTTGGTCAATGAAGACTTTGCTTGATTCTTAATTCATTTGAAGCTTGGTATTCCTCAGAGGTTTAGTATTTTTGCTTGCTTAGTTTTAATTCGAAGGATGAGAATGCTACATTGACTTCTTCATGTCAAGTGTTGGCTTCTTGTTGATTAGACCATTCTTTTCCTTACATTTTAATTTATGTACTTAGGATAGTCCCTTCATCACCTCCTATCTGCTTTAATTTAAAAAATCTTCTCCCTCCTTTTAAAAACTCTTCTTGTTTTCTAACTTGAACCGCTTTCATAATAAACTTGGACTTAGGTCCATGCATTTTCAAAAATCTTTTCTTAATCAAACTTTAATCAATTTAATCATACTTTTACATCTTTTTAGAAGACTAAAAGTCATTAACCTCATTCAAACCATTTTTCCACTTTGCCTTTTTACTTTAAAATTTTTCTCAAAAGATTAGACTCTTATTGATTCTTGTAGTGATGAAAGTTGTTATACTTCTATGATATGTAGTGAAGTGAGTCATTTTCCACTTGGATGTTGAGTGATGTCTTGTTTATTTTAAATATAAGATTATATCCTCCATTTTGAGATGATGCAAATGATCATTTCTCATAATTATGGATAGTAAGTATGTATTCCACTCGGATATGACGATGATGTTTCTTCTCTTAAAATGAACCAACACACATGTGTTTTTATTTTTATTTTTGAGGTGAACTACAAGTTCTCTCATCCCCTGTTGCACGGAAAATGGTACGTAGGCACTAAAGGTTTGCAACCGCGGAAGGTGCAAAAGTTGTAAAAAAATACTTATTTTCTCATCTCCATCGTCTTATTTTTGTATACACTTTTTATAGAAAAAATACACAGATTTTCAAAGAGGTTCCTGCCAAGTACTGTAGATGTTTAGGGTTCTAATACCTTCCCTTTGCATAACTAACTCCCGTACCTAGATTCTCCCCTTTTTTTGGGTTTATTCGCTTTTTCCCATTTCCTTTGGAAATAATAAAGCGTGATGGCGATTTTTATTTGATCTGTACGAGTTAAGTCAATCCAATGACTTAGTATCAATATTTCTACCGCTACACCTATGTATTTATAGGCTTCCCTTCCAGAAGCATGATTACCATCAGATTCTAGATCATTGTCAGAATCTGTATAAGAATCAGATTCACTTTCAGAATGAGACTCGCCTTCAGAGTCATATTCTACTTCAGAGTCACCTACAGACTCTAACTCATCTTCAGAACCTTCAGAATCATCTTCTGACTTTGACTCATCTTCAGAGTCTCCTTCTGACTCTGATTCAATTTTAGAATCTTTAGATTCTAAACTATCTTTAGAAGTTACCTCAGGTGTTAACACTACACTAGAGTTGGATTGATACTTGCTCTAATCCCATACTTCTGACTCCTTCTAAATGAAGTCTCTGTTGAGTTCAACTTCAAAGTCATCTTCTGATTCTGACTCATCTTCAAATTCAGACCCGACTTCAGATTCATAGTCAACTTCTGACTCTAACCCATATTCGGAGTCTCCTTCAAAATCAAAAAACGTCAATCACAAAAGTTCCTCATCAGATTCTTAAGCCATCAATAGCACTATTTCATCGTCAGAATCTCCTCTGGTTATATTTTCTTATTCTGATTTCCTTCCTTTGTTTGACCAATAATCTTTAGCAAATCGGCTAAATTGCTTACAACAGTGACATTGAACCTTCTTCTTATCAAACTTCTCTTTTCCCTTCTAATGTTTCTTCTCATCAGAATTGTATGCTTCTGATTTCTGGGAACTACCACCATGTCTCTTTTTGGCTTCTGACCAAGAACGCTTCTAGTCCTTCTTGACAAAGAAGCTTTCAGATCCTGCTCAACCTCTCTTTCAGAGGTTCTCTAAGTCATACGTAACTCTTGCGCCTATAGACTATTTTGCAGCTCCTCAATTCTCATGGTGTCCAGATCTTTATAATGTTCAATTGCTACAACAATGTAATCAAGTTGAGGAGTAAGAGATCTCAATATCTTCTCAATGATTACTTGTTCAAAAAGAGTTTCTCCGCAAGATTTCATCTCATTTGTGATCAAAATCACTCTGGAAATGTAATCTAATGCCTTCCTATTGTTCTTCATGTTTGATTCCCATACTGCTTACGTAGGGATTGAAGCTTCACCTTCTTCACTGACGCATCATCGTCATAACACTGTGTCAGTATATCTCACACATCTTTATTTATTGTCGAATCAACGATTTTCTCAAACACTTTCACATTCACACACTGATGGATGTAGAACAACGCTTTCTGGTCTTTCTTCCTCATGTCTCTCTGCGCGTTTCTTTATTCTTCCGTTGCATCTGCTGCAAATGGAAAATAACCTTCGGTTAAAAGATCAAGAATATCTTGATCACCGAACAACAAACGTATTTGAATCATCCACCGATTCCAATTCTTTCCATCATACACCGGAAGCTTAGTATTCAAATTGTTTTCACCGCTCATCTTTGTTGTGTACTGAAACTCAAACTCGGATCTCACTAAACACTCGTGTTTCCCTGTGAATTGAACTGGAGCTCTAGACACCAATTGTTAGTGCACAAAAGGTTGAAGATGAAAAAATGAAATGGAAGAAGAGAGAGAAAGATGGCTACAATAAACTTATTGAGGAAGAAATATTATATTAAACTTTTTATTAAATCCTAGTTACAAATTTGTTTGAATACACAAAATAAATTGCTCTGTAGACCCTAACAAAAGTATGCTTAATAGTTAAGCTAACAAAACAAACTAGTATCCCAAAAGTTAAACATACTTCTAGGACAGAATCTCATAAGCTTCTTCTGACTAGCACAAATAAAATATGAATTACATCTAACAATTTTATCTTTGATTATATGGTGAGAAAAATTGAACTTAAATGAATAGATTTTACAAATTTGATTATGATTTAAAGTGTATTAAATGTATAGTGATTTATATTTAAATACATTTATAAGAAAGTGAATTTAACAATAAATCATTGTGTAAAAGTTATATTTAAACTCAAAAACTACAAATTATTGCTTCAATTTAGAATTAAAATTGAAAGTAAAATCAATTCTATTAGAAATCCACCAAACTTACATTTACATGTAATAATTAAAAAAAGTGTATACATACATAATTTAGGTTAAATTCCATTTAATTAAACTAATGATAAAAATTCAAAGTATAAACTCCTTAACAATACTCATAACTGCACTAGCCCTAGAAGGATCCACCATATCAATATTATGGAACCCAACAGGATCAAACCGAGCTTCAACTTGTACCCCATATCTGACCAACATAGTCACAAACTCTTGTTGTCGATCAAGCATGATGTCTCCACCATAACCAATAACAAGACACCTTCCTATTTTCTTTACATTTTCCAAATGTGGCCCTTGTGCCATAGGATTGCAATACCTATGGTCACGATTTGTCTCTTTAGGCAAAGCCAAATTCCACATCATGTCCAACACTGGTAAGGGGAGTGTCTGATCCGTGGCAAACCTTTTGAAATAAACAACAATAATAATATAGTAAGTAATGTGAATAGAGCCGACTAAGTATATAGTAAGTAATGTGAATAGAGCCGTCTAAGTTTTTGAAAGCACTGAGAAGATTAACTAATATTTAAGTGTAGAAAATTAAATCGAGTTTTATTTTATCATGTTTTGACGGTAAAAAATATTTGATAAGATTATTTTTAACCACGGTTTAAATGTGTCAATTTTTAAATTATATATGATATTTTTTCTTACATGTCTCAAAAACGGCTTAAATGTGAGTGATTGATATAAAATAAAAATAAAATTTTATAGACCTTAATTCTGAGTTTTTCCTTTTCTCTCCGGAAAACATAGGTTGGTTCATAATAAGGCCACAAATCATGAGAGGCTTCAGGTCCATATCGGAAATATGCATGGCTGTATTGAACACAATGTTCCCACCAACACCACATCCATAAAGATAACATCTTGAAAGATCGCCATAGTCTCTTAGCCACTGCTCGCCGTTACCATTCGTAACTTGATTTTTCACCCATAAAATAGCTTTTTCGGCATCTTGATATTGTCCGGGAAGCCTACTCTCTGGCGCATGACGATATGCGACAGAGACAACAATACTAGGGATGTCAGAGGATATGTTCGAACATTTTGTATGAATGTCTGAATCGGAAGGACTAAAGATTATCCAACCACCACTATGAAAATAGATTACTATTGGTATACGCACCACCATATTATCGTTTGATGGAAGCTTTGTTGGCCTGAAAACACGAATCCACAAATTTTTTTCATTCTCAATGATTATGTCTTTAGACACCGTTGAAATTCCGGGTGAAGGCTCGGGGTTTGCATCTGTTTGGAGTTTATGGAAGCCGCGATGGAGGCTTCCGTCGGGGTTGAAACTCAAGCCAATATGGGCATATGGATCAAAACTTGACATTGTTTACTCACTTTATTTTTTGTTTTCTTCTTTGAATTAAGGTTGATGATATGGAAGAATGAAGCACAGTATAATAATGGTGAATTGTGATTTAGACGTTCGTGACAATATGCAAAATTCATGGATTATGAGTATGTAAGAGTTGGTTAGATGATTTTCTAAAATTGAGAATTTGATAGATCGAAGTGGAAATTTTCTTGGCTTTGTATGGAAGGTTACTAGGTGAATGGATTAGCCTAACATGTGTAACGTTTTTCACCATGTGAATTTATCTTGTTGTGCTATTGTTTCATGAAAAGTTTAAATTTGGTTAACACTTATAAGTTAGAAAAAAGTCACATGGTAAAAGCTCTATAAAAACATAATATATTGTGACTTATATTTAAATATACAAATTTTTAATATTTAGTGTGTGTGAGTTTCGCTATTAAATTAATAATAATAATTTCAAGATTCTTAAGATTATTAATGATGCCTCTAAACTCATACTCTTACTCTACTATCGTGCCAAGAGTTGGAATGTTCTAGCTGAGAAATGTTTTTAGAAGTGCTTTTCTCTCAAAGAATGTAAAAATGTAAAAATGAGGAATGAAATTTTCTTCTTTAGAGAATGATAATATGAATCTCTATTTGATGCATGAGAGATTCAAGGAATTTTCAAGGCAATGTACATTTATATCTAATTTGAAACATTTACTTTGATTTCTACCTTTTTATCAAGAAATGTGATGGATGCATCTTTAATTAGGCATGTTGTTATCTAACTATTACGTTGATGGTTGTCTTGGTTGAGAGTATTGAAAAAAACATTTTCCAATGACCAACTACAAGTGTAGCAACTTCTAAAAATTTAATTAATATTCATGAAGTGAATGATAATAGAGAGAAGGCGATAAATTGAGGTAATAAGTTTCGAATTCATTCTTTTCACTCTTTTTCTCACATATTGGCTTGAGTGTTGGAGTGTTAAATTTGTTGGTTTCCTAACTCTTACACATCAGAAGTTGTGATACGCCATCATCGTTGTTCCTCCTCTCATTTTTGGTTCTATAACAGAACAGTGGAACCGATTGCAAGAATCAACTACTGATTCTTACAATTTCTGCAAATTCATGTTCGCTCTCCAATTTCATCGTCTACAATTTTCTCATATTAGCAGAGCGAAAACATTTTCGATCAAGTGTGCAGATCAATCGCATCTTGATCCAACCAAACATCATCTCAATTTTGTTTTCTCAAATTTCTATATCTTTAGTCCTTATGATTCTCGTTGATGGTTGGATCTAAGGCTATTAGATTCTCTACTACGCGTGAAGTTGTTACTGCTGCTCTAGAAATAAGCAATAAACTGCCTCTTCCTCCTCCACAAAATGTCATAGATTCTGGAACAGTTATTTTGCTACATCCAGGTCTAGTTTGAGCTCTGCATTTACCTAGGTCTATTTAAGCTACTCAGATGGGGACTCATGTTCCACCTACAATTATATAACCCAGAGCATTTCATAGCCTCCACACTCTATAGGAAAACCTTACAGTAGAAGGTGCTAACAAACTGTTGAATAACATGTTCAATATCGTTCGACAATCAAACTCACACGCGCTCTACGAGAGGCTTCAATGCCTGGAAGAAAACCTTCACAATACCCCATCCTGCAGAAATAATGTTCAAGAAGTTGCTCGGGAAAGACTCATGTTGTCGTCCCGAAACCATCTGTGACAAAGATAAATGAGGCCCCTTAGTCGAAGGATTAGCGTATGAGAAGGAAGCACCATACTTCTCCTCAGATCCCTAGGAGAGACTGGGGAAGCCACACCCCTTCCCCGACTCAAGAAAAAACTCGACTGGAAAAGGTGCAGCTGAAGCACTCACTGTGAGTAAGAATCATGGAAAGCAAGATCCTGAAGTCCACGGGAAACCGCCAAAGTTGGGCGAATATGACGTAAAAGGAGATCCTGACGAGCATGTGTAAGTTGTAATTGATCGGTTGAGTTACTTCAGCACCGATGATATCTCAAAGTGCAATTTGTTTATGTTATCATTTATCGGGCTGACTTGGTTGCGATTTAATGGTCTGCATGACAGAAGCATCAATTCTTGGCCAGACTTATGTGAGAGGTTTTCTACTCATTTCACAGCCTGGAAGCGAAGACCTATAATTGAAGCCTTCCTGAGCGGTATCATCTAAGGAAAGAAAGAGAGCTTGCGGTATTACATAAACCAATTCCCATATGTCTCTCTTGAGATGGAAGTGACATAAGAGGGTCCTCAGTGTTGAATCTTCAAGAAGGACCTTCTGAAAGACCACCCCTTCAGAAATAAGTTAGAGAAGAAGAAAGTAAAATTTATCCAGAAAATGTTAACCATTTCTAAACCTTACATGCTCCTAGAAGATAAGTTAACCACGCATTTTTACAAACCTACCTCTATCGAGTCTCACTCGAGTCGCCCGGCTGGGAAGGAGTCCCACCGGCATCGAGATGACTCTGAATGGGTATGTTGGGGAATTACGATAGGTGCACCTCCCTAACGGTATCCTGACAAAAAATTTATCTAGACTGTGCAAATACTGAGTTTTAAAAAGGGGGAATCTGACCTCTTTACCCCGTCAGAGAGATACTTCAGAAGAATAAATAGAAATACTACTGCTTCCACAAGAGCCACGACCACAACATTGACAATTGCATCCAATTTAAGGATTCCATTTAAGGACTAATCAATAGGGACCGTCTAAATGAGTATGGTAAGGGGGAAAGAGGCATAGAGATGAGTCCCTTAAAGGTAAGTCTCCCTCAAAGACCGTGGAGGTTAGAACAAGAAGAGAAAGCAAGGAGGCATGCAAAGGAAAACACCCCTACATATCCTCCATAACCGGAGGATCACCCTGGGAAAACCTCTCATCCTAAGGCACCATGAAGAGGAAGATATAATAAATGATGGTTGTCTACCATAAGTAAGAAAGTACTTCGGAAGAAGTTCCTGACCTACCTTTGTTGGGATTTTGGAACTCAGAGAAGGTCAGAGGTAATCCTAATGAAATTTTCCCCATGTAATCATTGTAACATTTGGCCAATTCAACATGTCTCGGATCCTCAGAAATGGTGAAAACTCCTGCTACATCATGTACTCAAAGTTGTTTGAGAATATGGGTTTAACCGAAGCGGTTTGTTGCCATACTAAGGCTCTGATCTCTAGGCGTTAAATGAAACCACTATTCGTCCTAGTGGATACGTGGAGCTGATTTTTATGGTAGGTGATAGAAAGGACATTTGGGTGTTAAGTTATAGATTTATTGTTTTTCCTTACATTAGTATTTGCAGATATATCTTTGGATGACCCTTTGCATCCATGTTGGATGTTGTTGCCTCGTCGGTGCACCTACATATTTTTGTACCCTAATTTCCCCCCCTAAGATTCCTCTTTCATCTCATACTATCACAATGCAACAAGTTCACACACTAGGGTTTGGATCTTCTCCTTATCTTTAGCTTTGCCCATGGGAAATCACCAAGCACATTGACTTGTATTTTGTGATCATCTATGCTTTGTATTGAGTAAATTTTAACTAATAAATACAATAAATGTTTACTCTAATTGTTGGTATCATAGGTGAAATCACAACACATTCTTGCAAGTTGATCCATAGGTTCATGAGTTTATTTCCATGCCTTCTTCAACAAAGCTTCATTGATATTCAATCTTCATCATTGAAGATTCTTTGAAGTAATATCATGACAAAGTCTATTATGATTCACCATGCCTCAAGTTGTCAAAAGATAGTTAAAAAATGCAAGGGTTGATTGAAGAGGTTTGACCTAATTGGACAAATTCTTGATTTATTGATCACAAGTGCATACTTTCTCAATTCTCAATATTTGGAAGTGGTTATGGTTTTTATGGCTTCTCATTATCATACTCAACAACTTCTATTTACATTACAAAAGTATTTGTGCAAGAAAGTTGACCAAAATTGAAAAGGGTTCTCAAGGTATGTTGTTGCTCTAGGAGCTAGGGTTTTGAACTTCAAAGGGGTATGTCTTGCTCATATTTTGGTATTTTTGAGTGATTCCAAATACATACTTCTCTTCAAAGGGTTATCAACAAATAATTTCAAAAGTTTCAAGGAAATTTTGTATGGAAGATACCTAATGATGAAGAAAAATTACAAGTCCTCAAGATGAACCATCAAATTCTCTTATGTGACTTCAAAAGATCATAACTTGGTCAATTTTTTTCTCCTTGAGCCTATTATTTTTCCATAATGATCTTAAGGATGTGAACTTCAACCCTTATTTTAAGTGCAATGTGTGAAAATGGATGGAAGATGCCCTAAGGATGCAAAAGATTATAGGCCATTTCATGAATTTTTGCCAATTTCAACAAATCATAAATTTCTCAATTTTTGGAGATTCTAAATGGTTCAAGGTTCAAAATGTCATTAAATAGATCTACTTCATACCATCTTTTTTGGTCAAGAGAAAATTTCCAATGGAAGGCCATGTTTGGATGCAAAATATTATAGGTCATTTTTTAAGAAGAACTTAGAAATTTCCTAAGTATAGAAAGTGAATCTCTTTTTCTCAACTTTGACTCATCACAACTTTCAGTTCAAGCATCCATTTAATTCACTTCTTTTAACATTGTAAAGTTTGTAATCCCATCTTTCTAATGCATCAAGAATCAAGTCTTAAGATGCCCTGAATCATGCACACCATTGATTTGAACATGGTACCTTAAAACTGGAGTTTCAACTCAAGTCAGAATTTGAAATCCTTGATTTGGCTTCTAAACTCAAAAAATTTGCGTGATTTTGCTTCTAATCATGTTTAGTGAACTTCTAGAAGTGATTAGCACATTGAAACGCAGGATTTGGATGAGTTTTGATCAAAATAGAAGTAACACTTTTCTTGTTTGCAACTTCACACAATTTCCCTCCAAACTTCATCATTTCACACGCTTGAGCATTCTATTTGATTCCCTATAAATATAGGGCCATACATAA